AGGTCAAGTAACTGTAGTTCCAAACATTCTGGCCTTTGGCCCATCCGGGTTTCCATTCATGGCAAAACGGCCTTCGGCCCATTCATTCATGTCAAACGGCAGAGTTTGCAGAGTGCCTTGGGCACTAAGTTGACCTTTAGTACGGCTTATCATCCTCAGACTGACGAGCAGTCCGAGCGTACTATTCAGATCCTTGAGGATATGCTTCGAGGTTGTGTCCTTGACTTTAGTGGGATGTGGGAGAGGCACTTGCCCTTGGTGGAGTTTGCCTACAACAACAGTTTTCAGTCTAGCATCGATATGCCACCGTTTGAGGCCTTGTATGGCCGACCGTGTAGGTCTCCAGTGTGTTGGGCTGAGGTGGGTAATGCACCTTTGTTGGGCCCGGAGTTGGTTAGGGAGACGATGGAGAAAGTTGAGCTCATCTGTAGGAGGCTTGTTACAGCCCAGAGTTGCCAAAAGAGTTATGCCGACCGTAGGAGGAGGCCTTTGGCGTTTGAGGTAGGTGATCATGTCTTCTTGAAAATATCACCTAGGTGAGGTTTGATGAGGTTCGGGAAGAGTGGGAAGTTATCCCCTCGGCTTATTGGTCCCTTTGAGATCCTTGAGAGGATTGGCGAGGTTGCTTATCGTTTAGCTTTACCGCCGCAGTTGTCCGGAGTGCATGACGTGTTTCATGTGGGTATGCTTCGGAAGTATGAGCCGGATCCGTCCCACGTGTTAGATTGGACTGACTTGGGGGTAGATGAGGATGCCTCGCATGAGGAGAGACCGGTTCGGGTCTTGGATAGGCGGGATCAAGTCCTGCGTGGCAAGACCATTCCTTTGGTGAAGGTTTTGTGGAAACATCACGGAGTGGAGGAAGCCACTTGGGAACGTGAGTTGGAAGTCCGCGAGAAATATCCGGACTTGTTTGTTGATATGTAACCATGTATTGGTAATTTTGTAATATCGTCGAACGTTAAGAACATTGTATGTGTCTTAAGTTGTAAAACATTGTGAATGCTTTGGTTAATGGAAGTTTGTTTTAACATTGTGTATGTTAAGTATATTGTGGAAATGCAAGCATGATGATAATGTTGCATGTGTTATGGAATTGTGGAAAATGAGTTGAAATTGCTAAATTTCAAAAGAAATGCATATTGATAATGCAGGTTGTTATGAATAATGTGTTATGCCTCTTGAAAAGAGATGGGATTGACCGGTAATGGGTCGGGTTGTTTAATATTATGTTGTAATATTGTTGAGAATGGAGAAAACCCGTTTTTGAAAAACTTGTGTTTAATTTCAGGGACGAAATTCTTTAAGGGGGGGAGGTTATAGCGATCCCGGTTGTCCCTTTACTGTTCTGTTGTATTCCGGACTCGGCTCCGTGAAGTTGGTAGCTGTATCTATCTTGTTGTCATCCTCTAATTCCGTTTGTTTGAGTTATAGGATGTGTTGGGCTTGTTTCGAACAGGTGGGTTGAATCTTGGTCTGAAATCTTGTTGCCAGGTTTTTGGTCGTCCCGCTCGAGCAGGTCTTGTTGCGCTCGAGCGAATATTGCGCTCGAGCGGATATTGCACACTCCCAGTTTTTCGTGTCCCTGCAAAACTTCTACAGGTGTGATTTTTACGCTCGAGCGGGTACTTTGGCGCTCGAGCGGGTAGTACCTTTTCGGTGTAAGTTCTGAGAGGGAGAAATCTACGCTCGAGCGGATGTGCTTTATTCTTGTGTCTGGGTGCTCAAGCGGGTCTTCTTGCGCTCGAGCGTACCTAGTTTTTGTTCTTGACGCTCGAGCGTTGTGTTCTCCGCTCGAGCGGGAATGTCGTATATCAGTTGGCTGTGGGGCAGTTTTAAATCACTTTTTCTCATTCTTTCTCTCTCTTACTTTTCCGAAAAAGCCATTTGAGAGCTTCTCTCTCTAGAACCTTGCCTTCTCTCTAGATATTGATCTAGTAAGAGTTGTTTCCTCACCTTTGGCCTTTACAAAAAAATTGTTGATCGTCGAGGGCTATCTTTTGAGTCGAGAAACTCGTGGGTTGGAGCAACTTCGTTTTCACCATCTTCTTCGTTGGGTGTCAACTTTTGAGGTAGGGATTCCTACTCACTCTCATGGGTTTTAACTTAGATTTTGAGCTTATTGTTTAAATGGTTGATTTTGGGACTTAGGGTTTCAAAATGTGTTAAAGAGGGTTTTGTGATTTTGGGCTCATAATATGTATTTTGGGTTTCAAAATGATGATATAGTTGTTGGTTGGTGATATTGGAACCTTTGAGTTGATATTGAGAGTTGGGGGTAAAGGCCCTAATTTGTTGTTTAAAATTAATTGGTATAATTAATTTGGGAAAATTGTAGCTATATGGAATTGAGTTGGAAATAATGAAATTGACTCATTATATGGTTGAATAGTGGAGTTAGATTTATTAATCGCTCACTTTTGAAAACATTGATATTTTATCTGTTGGAGCTTTTATTATCTGTTTAGAAATAATTGCTTGGGCTACCGGTGGAGGGTAGTTTTGATTGTTGTAGACAATGCATGATGATTAGGCAAACTAAAACTAATCAATTGGATATGTCATAGAGTATGACGGTTGATAGAATACATTAATGTTATGTATTGATTGGGGATGTACTCCACGGTTTAGGGGAAGATAGGGGATGGACCTCTAAACCGGATGTTGTTTGGGAGGAGATAGGGGATGGACTCCACTGATACAGCTCATATGCTTGTCAGATGATGTGTTGATACAGCTCATATGCTTATCATTGGAAGTGTTGATATAGCTAATATGCATATCTGTTGAAATGTGGATACAGCTTGTATGCTTATCTGTTGAGATGTTGATACAACTAATATATTTATCTATTGTAGAATGGGAAGTGTTTAATATGAGTCATTGTCTCGTATAAGTGGTTGGCCAGGTTCTGAGCCGTTGATGTAAATTGTGAAATTGATAAGAAATGGAAACTGAAATGAAACATGAACATAGTGGTCATGAAATGGAAATAGGTTATGAACTGGTTTATGGAAATTGAACATTTATCAATTGCTAATGTCTTAGTCATTGCGCATACTATGTTTAGCATATCTCTACTGGGCGTTGGCTTACCCTTTATGGGACATTATTTTCAGGTACAGGTAGTATGCCACCTCCAAGGACATAGCTTGGACGATGATGAGAGTTGAAGACTCCTTTTTGTTTATTTTGTTGTATTACATGTATATCAAGCCAATGGCTTATTTTGTATAGAGTTAGTGCTCTTCTTTTGTGTAACCAAGTGTTAACTTAGAAAGCTGTAAGCCCATAGGGCATTTGCTTTTGTTGTTAACATGTAATACAGTTGTAAGAATTACTCTGATGAATAGAAATAGTTGGTTTCTTTTATATCAATGCATATTTAAAGTAATGGGTTTTATGTATTTTTTTGAGGGCATTTCACAAAGCATGTTGGTGTCAATTTTGTCAATGTGCATAAGCTCATCTGAAACAGCATCAAACTTTTCCCTCATGTCAAGTGCCACTTCAAGCACATCAGATTGTATAAATGCCTGTTCCACAACAATCATACATCTCAGCAAGTGTTATATGCATGACAGCCGTGCCCACAATACAATTTACATTGCAAATATCATCATGTAAAAATAATAAAGTTGTACGCTATAGAACATTCCTTCTCTTTTTTTTTCCCTCTCTTTTTTTTTCCTCTCTTTTCATAAAACAGTCTATTACTTTCATGTAGGCAGAGAGATGCTCATGAATTCACGAAAATATGAAAAAGAAAAAATATCTAACCACCTGATCTATACTCTCCTGCCTAGTTGAGATATACTCGAGGGGAAAAAGAATAGGAGGGATAGGTTTCTTCTTAGCAACGTTAATCATTCCATCACCTTCTTGGCGATGTTAGAGCAATGTCACCAAAAAAATCTAATACCATAACGAATTACGTTTTGGAACTCGCATTCCGAAATAAAGAACACTTCCGTTCCAAAATAAATATAGTGATTCAAAACGATCCCAAAAAAATGTTCCGCTATGTTTCCTTAAAAGTGTCTTAAGAAGAAAAAGAATCAAATATAATATAAGGTGAGTGAAATTTTGACAAGACAATGTCAAAATTGGGTCATAATGCTCGTAGAAATGTTTTGCTACACGATTAATTTGGAGGGAAAAAACTAAATTTTATTCGATGCCTAATAATATATATGTATATATTAAAGTTTACTCTAGAAGTATCTTTAATTCTTATAGTATAATTTATACAAATCTACCCCAATCATATCACTTTTTCGAGCATATGGCGTACCACATTTCCGTTCCCATTTTACGTACAAGAACAATCAACATTTTAGATAATATAGCTTTAGAGCTTTCTTTCTATGGAAAAGCATTCAGATTCCAGTGATCACAGCGAAGGTGTCCTTTGTGTGGAATGCGGCTTTGGAAGCTATGTTAACCATTGATAATTTGGGGAAAAGGGAAAATGTGCTTCTCAACTACTGCTGTATGTGTAAGAAGGCTGAAAAACTGGTGGACCACCTCTTTTTACTCTTTGAGGTGGCTAATGAGCTTTGGAGCATCTCTTCTCTATTTTTTTGGTGTTAGCGATGGTAGATTCGGTGGTTCATCTTTATGAGAGATGGCATAGGTGTTATCCCACTTTGTTTGATGTCATGTTTGTGGAAGGGGGAGGAGTGGGTAATAGGACTTTTGAGAAAGTGGAAAAGGGAAATCATAGAATCAATGAGGCACTTCTACATTCCTTTAATTTTTGGATGGAATGAAAATTTTGTGTTCCTTTGTCTTTACATTATTGATTTTATAGGGATATTATCTTCTGTAGATGTTGTATATGATATTTTTGTTATCTTTTTGTGTACCCCCCTAGTGTACAAAGTATACGCCCATTTTACCCAAGATAGTCAAAACAGTGTCTAGCTTTGTGATTTTGCAGCAATCTAGCAAATTACTGAAGTACAATTCAAATGTTGACGGGATTTGGAAGAAAGCAATGTTCACAAACAAAATGATTTTGCAAGTTCCTAGTTAATTTCCCAATTTACATATTTGAATAACTGTCCAAAAAAACCTAGTTTACATACAGATACGACACACTTCTCTTTTAAGAGAAGTAGGAAGAAAAAGGAAAGAAAATAAAAGAAGATAAATACAATAAAAAAATGTGCACAGTGAAAAAAAAATAAATCTTAGCAAGAAAACAACAAACATTTCAAGTTTATTTACATAGGCTTAGCACTAAAATGTAAGAATTGATCAACCATCATCTAAGGTGAATTCAAATGTCAATGAAAATAGAATTTCTCTCTGCACTAGAAATATGAACATGATGGGAAAAGAAAACCCATCCATCAAAGACAAAAACTTGAAAACAAAAAGGACAGACAAAAAAAGATTGCCCGATATCCTTTCTTTTTCCCAATTTTTTTACCAATACGCTTTTTTGATATAGAAGTATGTTTTTTTGGAGCTGCCCTTTAAAAATCAAGAGGTTACTCATTATTCTAGTTGGACGTGAAAGACATTCCTCTCCCCAGCCATTTCGGGTTAAAAAGATGTGAAAGCGCATTTATCTTTAGTTTATCTCTATAAGAACGGTGCGTTCCGAGGTGTGAAATGCATCCTGAAGCCATTTTGTGAAATCCTAGTGCTGATTCAATAGTGTCAACTCTAGAATGGCTTCTATAAAAGATGAAGCCATTTAACCAAGCAAAATATCTTCTGATGTAATGTTGGCAACAGGGAAAGCCTTTTGACAGGGTAACGATGCACAAACATAATTTACATGTATTTATTTATTCGAAATTAAAAAGCCTGTCAATACGAATCAAAATTGCAACTCTGCATGACTTTTCTGCATAAAAAATTTGTATGTGTAGCGTTTTATTTTTGACAGGACAAGACTAGGAATCATACATAACACAGGAGGCCTAAAGTTTAAGGAGGGTCTATATTAATTATCATATTCAACTAAAAATATAAGCATAGTTCAGTTGGCTATACACAAATTACCCAACCCCTGTACATAAGAGATAAATAAAAGTGGCTGGTTCTATATCCAGTGGTTCGAACAATCGCAAAGAGTGAATCAACACAAGGAACTGATCAACACAAGCCACACGTGAAGGAACGTGCAACATTTTGGAAAAGTCTATGCTTTGGATAAGATGTCTACATAAAAATGAAGCCGAGATGTTGCGCTAATAGGGTGAGGTGGCTATCTTCAGAAATTTGTTATTATTTCTGTTTAAGGCCAATTCTGGTTCTTCAGTCTTCTTTGTTCTCTCATTTCTTGTGATGTGTAAGTGTTTGTTAAATGCCTCGGTATCCCCCGTGACTTTTTAAAGTTAACTACAGGCTTGAATGGAAAAGCTAAAATGTCTTTGGAGAATTAAGTGCTTTTTTTTTTTTTTGTTCTCTCATTTCCTGAAGGTTAATCACTTGAGTTTAGTGACTATCAGAGTAACCAAGTAAAAAAATATGGCCTCATAAAATTCCATCCAGTTAAGGTCTCCACGGCCCCCAAGAAGTAAATTCATGCTTACACAGAACGGAACTTCTTCTTTTTATAGTATACTTAAGACAATTCATTTATAGTCATAATCAGATAACTGATAATCAAATAAATAGTTTGTCCAGCCTATAGAAAGAAGCATTTATAATGCAAATGCATTTGCTAGCTCTAGTAAATATGACCGGTCTTGCAAAATCCTTGATATATTGAGCAATACATGTCCTCTAGGCATTAAACCATCTACAATAGACTCCACTAAAGGCTTTTGCAAAACCCTTCTTTTATGATACTTTTTCTTGAAATGAGGGTCTGGACACTGCAAAATAACACACCAACAATTATAAGTTTTAATTTAAACAATAGCCATACAATGTAACCATTAAAGAAAATCCTTCCTACATAAAACTATGAAAATCATTTCTCATAAAATGTTCCATTACAAGAAAGCCATGTTTGTTTGGGCGGACATGTGCTTGGGATTGGACTAATAGTTCAATTAAATTATTAATATAATGTTTGGCTAAAAAATTGAAGTACGGACTAACAATCCATCCGGATATGGTATCCCACATATGATGGACTATCTGAGGAGTGGTTTTGCAAAGAAGCCAGCATACAAGGAACCTATTTATCGGTTCTTAGGGAAGTGCTACAACTGTGGTAGCAAGGGGCATTGGGCTAGTGACTGCCACAAGTAGAAGAAGCAGTACAAAACCAAACCTCGGGCTCACATAGGAAATATGCAAAAGCACTTCCGTGACGAGGATGGCATGCACTTGTCTGTCGTTGTCTCTAAAGTGAATATAGTGGGTTCAAATCCAAGAGAATGATGGATTGATACTGGGGCTACACGCCACATCTGCTCCGAGAAGAAGTTGTTTACAACTTTCAAGCCGGTTACCAATGGCAAGAAGTTGTTTATGAGGAATTCTGCTACCTCAATTGTTGAGGGGAAAGGAAATGTGGTCCTGAAGTTGACCTCAGGAAAGAAGCTAACCTTGAACGAAGTCCTGTATGTTCCGGACATTCATAAGAATCTTGTCTCGGGGTCTCTTCTCAGCAAACATGGTTTTCGCATGGTCTTCGAGTCCGACAAGGTCGTTCTGACCAAGAGTGGAGTGTATGTGGGTAAGGGATATATGTTAGGGGGTATGTTCAAACTCAATGTAATGACTATTATCCCAAAGATGAAGAAATATGCATCTTCTTCTGCTTACATGCTTGAGTCTTCCAATTTGTGGCATGGTAGACTACGACATGTGAACTTTGAATCGTTATGTAGATTGATCAAATTAGATCATATATTATCTTTTAACATTAATCTGAAACACAAGTGTGAAACTTGTGTTGAAGCGAAGTTGACAATATCTTCGTTTCAGTCTATTGAAAGAAATTCAGAGTTACTGGACTTAATACATAGTGATGTATGTGACTTAAAGTTTATACAATCACGTGGTGGCAATAAGTACTTCATCACTTTTGTTGATGATTGCACTAAGTATGGTTATGTGTATTTGCTTAAAAGCAAAGATGAGGCTACTGACTAGTTTGTTCTATATAAGAATGAAGTTGAGAATCAATTAAGCCGCAAGATTAAGGCTTTAAGAAGTGATCGTGGTGATGAGTATGCTGAATACGGGATTATCCACCAAACCATGACGCCTTATTCTCCTCAGTCAAATGGGGTTGCTGAGCGGAAGAATAGGATGCTAAAAGAGATGATGAATGGAATGTTAATAAGTTCAGGATTACCATAGAACATGTGGGGGGAAGCAATTCTCTCTGTGAATTACATTCTAAATAAAGTACCCCGGAAGAAGGTAGACAAGATCCCGTATGAGTTATGGAAAGGCGTCAAGCCTTCTTATAAATTCTTACGAATGTGGGGGTGCCTTGCAAAGTTGGAAATACATATACCCAAACGGGTTAGGATAGGCCCAAAATTTGTGGATTGCATATTCATTGGTTATACACATAATAGTAATGCATATCGGTTTCTTGTACATAAGTCTAAAA